CTTCTGTTCAAATGACTATATTGGCCATCCGGATATAAGGGCGGTCGATCGACTACTCATCTGAACTTTCAGAATATTTTTACTCATTGAACTCTATAAATATATTCACTTTTTGCATTTATTGTAAAACTTTCAATAGCATTAAAATGAGATACATTTGAGCAAAATTATATTCATTCATTCTTTTTTATTTCTTCATATCAGAAATTTTGATTGATTCAAATTCTTTAATCTTCATCTTCATAAAAAAATTTCATCTCTCTTTTTGTGTTTAATTTATTTCTATTACTTATAAAAAAGAGATATATTTCGAAGAAAATCCTTGAATTTACATTGCATATATTTTTTCTACTTTTTCATATTGAAAACTTTGATAGATTAAATTAAACTTTTGAAATCATCATTTTCATCAAAGTTTTCTTATCTAATAGTTGAGAGCTAGTATTCATTGTAAATTATTAAGTGTTAGCCTCTTTTAATACTTGATTCATTTGTATTATTTATTAAGAATGGGTTTTCACTGTAAAATCACTTATTCTAAACTTGTAGATCATATCAAGGTCCTATAAAGCTAAATTGTGTGTCTTATTAAAGTCCTGTAAAACTCAATATTGTATAAAGATCGATATCCCTTATTTGTAAGTTATCGAAAGTATTGTAAAGAGTTGGATTGTAACATAAGTCAATTAATATAGTAAAAATATATTGCTCGTGCCGAAAAACTTGATAACGGAGGACGAAGATTATCGTTTTGGATAAAACTTCCAAAATTATATCATTTGCATTCTTTCTACCCTTTTACTTATCGTTTTTACATTTGCGCATATCATTTTATTAATCCATTGATTCTTAACTTGCTTGAACTTAAATATTTTCTCGAGAAAGTTTAAAAAACATGTTCACTCCCATCTTTATTAATTATTCTTAAGCTTTCAGATTTGTCAACAAGGTTAAACCAATATTTGATGTACTTACGAGTCTCACGCTGAGTTTTTATGAATAATTTATTTGGACAAATATAATTGCTAAATTCATACACTATTGTCAAAATGAATATTGTTAACATATGTGTTTATTATCGATCGAATAAAATATACATGTTTATCTACGTATATATTTGTAATTAAACAATAGGCTTATGATGAAAGGTACGACTATTGTTTGATTCATTCTACTCGATTACTTGAAAAGAATATTGCAACATCTAACAATATTGGAAGTTGCGACATCGTCTTTCTTCCAAGCATTTGATTGAACTTGGAATGATCCTTGAAGGAGAAAGTGATCAAGAATCAAGTGAGTTTTGTGTATAAAAATTCGCGAAAGAAAATTTATTCCCATAAACATGGTTTATGATTGTAAATTGGACATTCGATTATCTTTATCCATTTAAACATGAAAATATTATTGTTCCTCAAGTTCTAGGTCAATTGGTACACTATCATATATCGTAAATTGTATCCAATCACTGCGATGATTATATTCAACTTAGAAGTAGTTGAATAATATTGTTCGAAGATAATATGGCTTGGACGCTATATGAAGTCAACAACATCAAACGCATCTCCGCCGAGTTTTTCTCATACAACGTCCTGAAAATGATAATATTGAAGAGAATAATGCACAAGATATGAATAGCTCGTTACAAGTATTTTTCATTTATTAAAATAAGGGGGCGTAACTGTACTCTCTTTTTTTCGCTCAAATATTTCCCCATTAGGCTTTCATAATGTAGTGTTTTTTATTCCATAAACATTTTTCAAACAAGGTTTATAATGAGTTATTTGTCGTGTAAATAGTCATCGGGAAAGTATTGTAAATTTAATATTATTCATTATTTCGCTAAATTTGTTGCTAGATCTAATGAGAGATTTAAAGTAATTCCTTTGTAACTAAAAATTCGTAGAACAATGATCATTCAAAACGATATCCTTGTTCATATATGTCAATAATTGCCCGCTAAATTAGGCTTTTAAATAGAAATTTTGCTCAATTATGATCTTAATTGCCTCCTCATCAAACCTTAAACTTTATTCATTAACGTGGCACAGACAAAAAGGTTAAGAAATAATTAAATTGTTAATCCGACTTTTTGACGTATTCCTAGATTATTTATTCTCAAATATTTGATTATTAAATTATTCGTTTGGTGCATTATGTTGACATAGACCAATTAATAAAGATTTTGGGTTACTTCTCTTAATCAGGTTGACCTTTTAAAATGGAACCCCAATTCTTAACATGGTATCAGAGCTCATTATGTTTCAACGAGCGATTCGATCCCGTTAAGACTTTTAAGACTCTAAAATAAGCACGTGGGTTTCAAGATTTGTCTGCTCAAATGAGCCACTATCTTGTAGGAGCGTGTTAAGGGATATATATATCCCAAATCGATAAATGATGTTGATACAGACCAATTAATAAAGATGTTGGGCTACTCCTCTTAATAAAGTTGATCTTTTAAGATAAAACTCCAACTCTTTACACATTATTGTGATGTAGAGTACAACTAACTTCTAAAATTTAAATCTTATTCAGAATAATTAGAGCATTTACCAATACTCCCAGTTTTATATCATAATTTCTCGATTTAAATAGAAGATTACTAGTTTATAACTTTTAAGAAAATTCAGATTAGGACATGCAAAATGCAGGGGCGGAGGAAGGGGGCGCGAACCCCGTGAGACCCCCTACTTCGACGGGCTAGCTCCGTCCCTGGCAACATGTGTAATATATGTCAAACAGATTAATGTTCAACCAGCCACGAGCCATCTAGAAGAGGTTCGTGATTATATTTTTACGATTTCGTACTTATATGTGTATAGTATTTTAGAACTCGACAAATACAAGGTAATATCAAAGAAAAAGTTAAGTTTCAATTTTATTTTTTAAAAAAAGTAAATTTAGATCTAATTATATAATATTAATTTTCAGCTAATCAGAAATTTACAGATATTCCTCTTGGACTTGGATTTCTGAAGATTCACGTGGTACGGTGGTAGGATAGTTTGACCGAAGTGCAACATGTTAACTCATAAATAACGTGACAAAAACAAATAAAAAATATGGTCTGAATAAAGCAAAAAAAAAAAAATATATATCAGTTGCGACTTTAAAGTAAAACCGAATTTTAATTAGATTAATTTTAAGGAATAAACAAGTTGGATTCACATGTAAAATGCATTTAAATTAGATGAAAGAATTTACATATAGAATTATTATTACGTATCATGTGAACATGATAGTTCTATTTATCGGGTTTTTGGCTTATGGTCAAAAACCTGATATTGAAGGAAATCTGTCGAAAAATACTCACCTAGAAGTAATTGATAAAATAAAAGGACACAAATCATAATAAAATTGAACTAATTAAAGAAACTTGAAGTTCCCAAACCTACAATCCCGAATACTTCAAGGTGTATATTTATGCAAAAGGAAAATTAGCAAAAGAAAGTCGTGACTCTTAAAATGAATTTCATAAAAACTTATATAAATAGATAAATTATCTCATCAGAAATCTTATTATTCTGACAATATATGAAATTTGATATGCATAGTTATAGTCAACACATCTAGGATGACTATTAATACTATCACTAAATGATTTAATATGTTTAAAGCATATAATTCAAGTAATATTATCGTGGTTTGAATAAATACGCATTTTACTCTTTTACGTAATTAAGGTTTTGTCTATTTGGATTATTGTGACAATATTTTTAATGAATCAATTTTTGTAACGTATTCAAATGAATAATAAACTCTATTTTCTTAATTAGAATTGTTCTCACTAAATTTTTACTAGTAAGATTTTAACGAGACGTTTTTTTTTTTTTGTAATGAATATCAATAGCCTACGAAATATTTATAATCAATATAACTTTATGATTGTACTCTCACATATTATAACTTGTATACAAGACTATCGAAGTGAGCAACAAAATTTATTTTCAACATACCATCATGTTCACTAAAATCAAACAAGGATACGTGAATATATTATATGAGAACAATACATTTTCTATTGCACAATTCAAATGATTGCTCAAGTGATAATGAGACTAACTTATTCATAAAAGTATTTACGACATTTATATTCAAGAAATTGGTACACGAGATAGAAATACGTCTACCTAAATATTTTCGGTGATCAACATCAGGAAAAGTAAATGTACTCTTTGTCGTTCAAACGAGTTTTATCTCATTGAATAGCATTTATTTTTAATTCTTCAAAAATAAATGTACTGTTTTTTCTTTCGTTTGATGTTTTTCCCATTATATTTTTTCTCAAACAAGGTTTTAACTAAGTAATGATTCATATTTTTGTGAGTAGTACTTATCTAAGTGAGCATATTATTTTAGTACTCAACAAATATAAGGTAAAATCAAAGAAAAAGTAAATTTTCACTAAACAAAAGTAAGTATTGAAGTAAATAATTAATTTTTAGCTCGTCAGAAATTTATAGCTATTCATTTTGGACTTGTATTTCTCGAGAGTCTCGTGGTAGGTGGTAAAATATTTTGATTGATATAACGTTTTAACTCATAAATAACGTGAGAAAAATAAATTTCAAGTATTGCGTGAATAAAGTAGAATCTTTTTTGATCCGTTACAACTTTAACGTAAAATCGAATTTTAATTAGATTAATTTTATGTCATTAAAAAGTTGGATTCACATATAAAACATCGATTTAGTTTCGATCGAACCTTTCACCTTTGTGGAGTCAAAATTAGCTGAACTATCCGCCGTCTGATCATAAAACCCAAAATGGGCCCCACTACCCTAATCATCCACCATAGAATTATCTTATTTCATCTCCGCCGTCTGATCATAAAACCCAAAATGAAGTCTTGTCTTATTCTCAAAGGTTGTGACCGTCTCTCTCTATAAATCAAGCCCTACTCTCTCCATCTTTCTCTCTCTCTCTCTGTGCAACCTACTCATATACATTTCCTCATCGAACTGTCTATCGCATTTCTCAAGAATTGAACTCACACAATGTGTGGAGGTGCAATTATTTCCGATGAACCCATCATCAACAAGAGAGGGAAATTAACCACAGAAGAATTATGGGCTGAATTTGATACAATTTCTGAGTTCTGGGGCTTCAATTCCTCTAATGACAAGGATCTGCAACCCATCAACAAGCCCAAGAAATTCAACAAAGGCGAGTTTTCTCTCTCTGTGTTTTGTGTATGTATACATGTATATCTACAAATCCTTGTTCATTTATGTAGATACGGCACCTAGAAATACATGCAAGATGGAAGTATAAATAAAGGTTTTTTTTTCTGTGTAGGGACAAATGATAAGGCGGAACAGAAGAACTGTCCAAGGCCAAGGAAGAATATGTACAGAGGCATAAGGCAAAGGCCATGGGGGAAATGGGCGGCAGAAATTCGTGACCCGAAAAAGGGTGTCCGAGTCTGGCTCGGAACCTTCAGCACGGCGGAGGAAGCAGCCAGGGCCTATGATGACGCTGCCAAGCGCATCCGTGGGGACAAGGCGAAACTCAACTTTTCCGACAATCTACGACCGTCGACTCCGCCAACCCCGCCGGTTCAGCCACCGGCCAAGCGACTGTGTGTCAATCCTGAGCCAAACTCGTTAATGGATTACGGGATTCAAACTACCCGGCAACAAGAAGTTTACTACCCAACCCAGGCGGTGGCTAGTCAATCTTTTGAGTTCAAGGATAAAATTTCGAGCTTGGAATCGTTGTTGGGATTGGAACCAGCTGAGCCACCTCAGTTTGTCAACTCTGAGTCAGATGACTCGGTTGATCTTTGGATGATGGAGGATTTTGGACAGAATAATCTGTTCTTCTGAACAGTATTAATTAATCATATCCTAAGATTAGATTATGTTAATCTGGATTAAGGCGGTTTAGACTATGTTCAATGGTTTTTGTTTGGGATGGTATATTAATCTGGATTGAGGTTGTTTAGATTATGTTTAATGGCTTTTTGTTTGGGATTGTATTAAATGCAATGTATACATACATAAAAATAAATTGCTCTCGTTTGCAAGCAACTATAAATATTGTCGTGGTACGTTTAATTATTTATTATGAATAAAAATATTGTCGTGATATGTGTATTTGATGGATATTATTGAGAAATGAATGTATTTTAAATAGTGAAATGATGATAAATATGTGATTAAAAAGTAAGGAAAAGTTACTGATGGGATGAAAAATATTATTTTATTAAAGAATATGTTGTTAAAAATGAATTTTGAAATAATTTATTTTAAAAGAATGTGTACCAAATAAGACTAAATAATTACAACTTAGCCCATGTTTGAGCTACATTAAAATTTTCATTCTCATTCTTCTACTCATTTTCAACCACACATTTTTCAATAAAATAATATTTTCCATCAAATCAGTAAAAATTTTCCTTTTTTTTTAACCACACATTCTCCATCAATCTACTATTTCAAAATACAATCTTCCAGAATAATATGGCTAAAAAACACCCTTATTCTATGTTTTCCGAAGCGATTTCAACGTCTTTGACTTAAAAGTTACTTTTAAAAAAAAAATGTGGACATTGTACGTTTGAAAAGAAAAAGTTAACTTTTAATCAAAGTTCAAATCACATTAGCCCTTGTTTGAGACTAATTTTTGGGCAAAAAATATATATTTTTAAATAGTATTTTATTGGAAATTGTATGATCAAAAAGTAATACTTTAATTTACCTTTAATATTATTTTATAGGAAAACATAGGATAGAAAATGAATTTTTGAAAAAATATGGACAAACATAGGCTAGCTAAGCCCCTCTTTGACACAATTTTTTAAAAATACATTCTTTCAAAACTCATTTTTAACCACACATTTTTCAATAAAATAATATTTTTCATCCCATCAATAATTTTTTCTTATTTTTTAACCACATATTTCTCATCATATTACTATTTAAAATACATTATTTCCTCAATAATATTCATCAAACAAATCCTATTTTCTGTATAGTCATTGTTTACTTTTTACTCAAGAAAAATCTGCCTAAAATTATGAAAAAATGGTACACTTAAAACATCATTTGTCAATTCTATCATAGCTAGCATGAATTTATTTTGTATAGGATTAAAACTATAGCCCTTGTTGAGGATGTTTAATAGATATTATTGAGAAAATAATACATTTTAAATAGTAATATAATGAAAAATATGTGGTTCAAAAGCAATGAAAAGTTATTGATATGATGGAAAATATTATTTTATTGAAAAATGTATTGTTGAAATGAGTTTTGAAAGAATGTGTCAAACGGGGATTGATCTCCTTATTTTCAAAATACATTTCTCTTTTAATTTTAACCACACATTTTTCAATAAAATAATAATACACGTAAATCCAAAATATTTTCTAACTTTTTATTCACGCATTCTCCATCAATCTATTATTCCAAAAGAAAAATGTTATTTAGCTCCACAAAGATTATAACCCCATTATATATGACGCTAATATGACATTAAAGATAGGTTATATGAAATATGTAATTAAATGAATTATTTTATTTAACATATTATATAATACCACGTAGACTAGTAGGCTTGGGACCGACGCTGCAATTACATACAAAGGTTTGGGACCGACTCTGCAATTATGTACAAAGATTTGGGACTTCTACCGCAACAAGTAAAGGTTTGGGACCGACGCTGCAATTACATATAAAGGTTTGGGACTTCGCCTGCAAAAATTAAAGGTTTGGGTGTAATCTGCAACAAAATGAAAGGTTTGGGACCGCGGCCGCAATTTTCCCTTACAATAATGCTACTCAAATCCGGATTGCAAACAAAGGCAGGGACAGGTGGCAGCACATGTGTGGCTAAGTGTGTGTATATATATATATGGGTATGTTTGGTAGGAATTCTCATTTTCTANGATTGTTGACAGATCATGAATTCTAAAACTTTTGCATCACAAAATATTGAACAAAGTTATCAATGGTAGATCCCAATCCACTGCTGCCTAGACTCTTGGGGGGCATCGATGGTGCTCCACGATATTATTAAGTCCCTATTTGATAGGACAAGTTTTTCATGTAAAATGAATACACACACACACACACACACTAGGTGCAAGCAACGTGCAATGCACGTTTGCGTAGTTTATATTTAATAGTTTTGTTTAAGAATTAATTTGTTATTAGTAAAGATGTAATTTTTTTGGTTAATTGAATAATTAATGATGTAATGTTTATGTAATTGATAAATAATTAGATGTGTGATTTTGATATTGTGATATAGGTTGGTGAGACCGAATAAAATAAGTAAAAGTTAACAAATTTGGAGAAAATGGCTAAATTGTAAGGGATCCAAAGTTTGGGGACTAAAATGTAAATACTTAAAAGTTGTGCTGAGTCTCACGATGAAAATTTGAGAGTGCTCGGAGTCAATTGGATAAAGGAAGACGTCAATGGAATCAAATTTAGTCAAAAGATGATCACATATTGAGACCTATTTTTGGCATAGAAAGTGATCGAATTGGAGAATGATATCTGAATCAAAGTTGTAACAAGATGAGTTAGTTTTCCAACGCATTTTGAATCGCTTTAATCGGATATCGGAATACAAAGTTATGATAAAAACATTGAAGGAAGGTGCGGCTGTTTGTTTAAAATAAGAAATTTCGTTACATAGTCCGTTAAAACAACAAATTCCGTTAGTTTTTCCGTTAAAAACAAGAAATTCCGTTACATAGACACTTTTAATATATAGAAGATTTTATTATTATTTTTTTTTTTAAACTGTCAAATGATGTTGTGTCTCCCTTGTTTTTAACTCCTCTCACTAAACCTGTTTGTATGGCATGATTGTTCCGTTTAAGGGGGGTTCCGTAAGCACATTCCCAACTACCAATTAGCCTCGAAGATATATAATTGATTAGTGATAATCACTTATTTTGGGATCGAGTAACTTATTATGAGCAAATGTACAAGGAATGGATCTCACTGCCATTTGCCAGTCAAAAGTTCGCACTAGTAAGTTGGAAAACAACATTTAATAAATTAAATAAGAGAGGAACTATCACGGGTTCCATTCGTGTTTATGTTTGTCAAGAAGAGTACAGATAGTCACAAGAAAGTGACACCATCAAACTTAAAAAGTCCATTGATGCACAGTTTGACAAATTTCAGTCCAAATTTCAATGTAATTTCTTGGCCAAAGATGCTGTCCTTTAGATTTTCATAGGATTATGTTTGAGACCAGTAAACACTTTAACGTGATTATAAGTAAACTCCAACCGACATATTAGTGCGTTTAACGGAAAAAGAGAAGAAGAAGAAGAAAAGGCTAATTCTTGTTTATTTTACTATTCAATCCCTGTACCGCATACTGAATATGCTCTAATTGTAGTACACATGCAACCCTAGTAGTCTCATATATTCCCTTGAGGGCTTGTAACTTTCATGTCCTCTTAAGGCCAGTGATCTCAAAAAGAATGGTGCATTCAGCTACAATCCTGCTGTCTTATTGCAATAAAAAATGCAGTTAAGAAAGTAGCATCCCAATAAGGTGGGGGAGGAAATGAAATCTAGTTGCAATAGAAAAAAGATCTAGTGTCACATAGATATAATATGCAAGTGTTATTCTCGATATGGGTGAGGTGGGGTAACACAAAACAGTTTATTTGATAAGCCAATCCTGCTTGGTTCTAAAAATAAGATGCAAAGAATCCCTATTGATGTGCCATCAAAGGGAAAGATGCATGAACCATATATAGTGGTGTGTCAATTAAAATCAAAGTGGGGCCTTATGCAGGAATTATTTCTATTACTTTTAACTTAGCAACTTCCTATTTTGGCAGCTTACCAATTATATCCTTCCATGATGACTAAAGTGGAATCCACAAACTATTAAATTGCCATAAACAAAACCTAGTTGCAACAAAGACAATGAATCTAAGGCATTTCAAGACATTCTATAGCACTGTAAAACCTATTGAAATTTTTATTACCAATATAATTCACTCACTATAAACATAGCCAGAGGCACAGAAGTCGGTATAAAATCCCGGCCTACACAGGAATTTTCAGTGTTCACAGTTTCTTGTTGGAATATCATGTCCATTTGAGAATCTAACAAGGGCTCTATATATGACATGCAAAATGGGTAAGGCAGAATAACATAGTTCATCAGTATACATACACCAAGGGGTTTTTCCCCCGAAACATGGGGTTCCAATCCATTGCAACAAAATTTACCTATCAATTGAAAGAAACGTCACTATATATTAGTTGGAATTTGGAAACAAATCATGAGAATAAGTGAATGTGTCAAAGTAAAAAACAAGTAACCAACCATAAGCAGAAAATTCTACTCAGGCTTGCAAAATGAATAACGATAGCAAAATGCATGTACCAAGTGATTTGAAACTCAAGCAACCAAGAGAATGATAAAAAACAGTCAAGGAGGTAGATACAACAGGGAAGTGTAGGCAGTAAAAAAAAAAAAAACTATTGTACATTCTGATAAAGAATGGTCCACCACATTATTAAATTAAATATTAAAAAAAAAAAGACATTTCTTCAATCAAATATCAGAATCTGATGCCTAGTTGACAAGGTGTAGCACTCATCTAGATAAACCCAAGAAAAGCTCTCAAGAGTAAAATTGTCATTTTCAGTCTTCCACTTCCTGAAAACTCAAGTATCATTTGTCTTTATCGTCTGTGTTCATTTCACTATAACCTCACCAAAGTGACGGGCATCAAACTTTTTTAGTGATTTAGTATCAAACAAAATCCACAAACAGGAAAAGAATTTCAAGTTGCATCACAAGTTCACGTATTGTACTCATTTTCATCTCCATCAGTGGCATCTTTTCTAAATGCATTTGAAGCTAATTTGGATTTTCGATACTTGCTATAAACTATTTCTATGAGTATGTTTATGAGTTGAATAATCCCAGCACACCCATTGGATGAATTTATTGGTACAAGAGATATTCATCATCGCCTTCTCTTTTTCCCCCCAATCCAAAGCATCTCCAAACATAAGATCATTTGTATTTCATACATCAAAGAACAACACTTCTTCGGCTCTTGCATCATAAAACACCAACCGCCTAGCAAATAATGAATAAGAACGTTTCCATTATGTAATACATACCTTTCTACTCAAGAGGGGGAGTTGAGAGGAATACCATGGCTAAATCAGTATTTTAAAAGGACCAAAATGCGTATAGAGGCATTTTGTCTCTTTTAGGCAACTACTAAGCCTCAACTTAAACAAGTCATAATTCAAAACAATTATAAAAATTCAAAACTGTGCACATAAATCATCTAAAAAAAATAATGATAAACATTCCAACATATTAGAAGTCCATTTGCAAATAAAAACGTAAAGTAGAACAACAATTTAGGAGATAAAATAAACCAATGAAGTATTATTGACATAACAAGCACACTAATTAAAAATAGCTAAAGTATGGGGAAAAAATTAAACAACTAACCAGCTATCTGCGAGAAATTTGTGCTCTGGATTAAAAGAAAGATAAACAAGGAGTGAAAACAAAATTTTAGAGACAACAAAGGACAAAAAATAAAATAAATTTCTACCAGACACTTGTTGGTGATCTTAGACAGCCTGACATTGGCCGTCTACCATTGAAAACTGCAATAGCACTAACGAGAGAGGATGTCGAGGTTGCAAGAGCAGATAAGTAGGGCATGCGCAAGTTTTCTAGTTATAATCTCTAATCTCCAATAGGCTGGGCTACAATTTTAGAACAAACCCAGAAGAGTTAGAACATTCAATGCTGTGAAAAAACCAGCCCAAAAAGAAGAGGCAAATAATTAGCAAAAAAAGCACAAGAATGAGAAGTGCGCATGTTAAATGACCTGAGCATCAGTAGGTCACCATTCAGTCTTGACAATGGTACTCAAAGCCCAAGTTTTAACTTTTAAGTCCCCAAATGAACACCGAACCAAGATGTGCCCGTTCAATAAACAAAAAATAATTTACAGTCTGAAACTATATACACAAATACAAACACAAAAGTCATGAAGTCCGCTCTTTGAAATAAATCAAATCCATAAACGATAGAGCTGTATATACAATAATTTTATCATAAATTCACGGATGAATGTGAACCGCATGAATATATGCATTATTTACATTAATTTGTCAAGCTAAGAAAAATAAAAGGCCCCAATTTTTACATATCAAGATCAAAACTCATGTTGGAGCAATCAATTTTTACTATTTAGCAGACTGAATCAATAGGATCAGAACCATTTTCCTAGCTGAATCACCCAACCTATCAGCCTCGACTTTCTTGAACGCAAAATGCAAGCAATTTGACAGTGCAATCCAGCTCAACACCTCATAAAAGCTGGATCATAAAATGAATTATTTAATGATTCTCCCCAATTTGCCCCTCCAAACCCATCAAAATTCCATCTTTTGCCCCCTTCACCACTCCCACCACCCCAAAAAGAATCACCATCCCCATCAATGAAAAACAAATCTCCGTTTTCCTCACCATCGTCATTATCGCCGGATAGGGATTTTCGCTTTGTACGGCGGGATTTAAGGACGAGACGCTTGGGTATTGTTTTGGTGGGTGGTGGTGCGACTGCGGATATACTGGTGGCGATTGGTCTGATGAGGTATGAGGTATCAGATAGAGAGAGGACGTTATGCCCATCCACAAGTCGTTGAAATTTGAAAATGCTCCACATCCATTACTTGTTACGATTTCATTTGCTGAATTTAATAAACTTTTACGTAGGAGACGAAATTCACAGGTTATATTCAATGGATGTTAAATTATTCCAATTAGCTACCACCTCACAAAAAACAAGATTTCACAATGCAATTATTATTATTATTATTTTGACATCTTTGTTATATGCATGCTATTTTTGTCGTCCACTATGTTTCAGAAAAATTGCTATTTGAAACATCCGTCTGCTTTGTGTGCTCATGTTTGAGTAAGCGATTAGGGGTCATCAATCTCATGTAATAACATGAGTTATGTACTTGTGTAGTGGGAAATATAACTTGTGTTTCAATCAATAAGGATTTATTATAGACCGAGTTATAGATGTTGTCACTCTATTTGTGTCGAAAGATTCCAATTGAAAATATTGATTATCCACATAAAACAAGAATTGGCTCTCAACGGATAATTGAGAATTAAGTATATTAATAATGGTGAATTCGAGATTCTATTGCCCTTTTGTTATTTGACGATTAATTTCAAGAATGTGCATACTTATTTTAGTTGCTTGTTTTAGTCATTAACTAGATGCAGTTTAAAATGAAACCTAAATAATTGCTAGTATGTTTCTTGAATTAGAGTTAGCTTTAATTAAGGTAAAGTATGCAGATAATCAATCCTCGTGAAGGATCTTTTATTCATCGTAAATCGATAAGTTTTTTTTTTTTCCCTTTTCCTTTTTACATAGTCAATCTCAGCTTTAATTCCCTTTTTTCATGTGATCAGCAGGTTTTTCTTAGTTTCATTGCTATCAGGGAACACAGGAAAGCAAGAAAGCAAGAACATAGCAAGATGGGTGACAATGGAAACTACGTTTATGTTTTACATTAGTCTCTTTAAACAATCGAAGTCATTTAAAACGACCTCGATTGCGTTTGAGCAGACCATAAATACAACATCAACTCATGCTCACAAGGTCGTGCTTTTCAACACCCTTTCTAACTCAATAAAATAAAATAAATACAATGGACGTTTAAAAATCAGCATTCTAAAAAGGGTAAAACGTGATTAAACGTAGATGTCAAGCTTCCAACTTTACAAGCCTAGGCAAGCCTATGCAAAGCTTAGGTGTAAAAAAGCATTTTGTTTAATTTTAATTTTTAATCATTGTAAAAAAAATTCAAGAATTTAATAATACATATCAAACATCTAAAATTATAAAATAATGTATTTACTTAATAATTCCTACATAAAGATAAGTTTCTAAATCATAATTACATAACGTAGACAACTTGTAGCTTAAATCTTATCTAATTTAGCTCTTTATCGGACTCTAATTCAATATCTTCATCTACATCTGATTCGTCTTCCGTATCGGTCGATACAAAATCATCATTCACGGGCTCCCTTATTTCATTTTGATCATTTTTATACCTCTTGTAGGTTGTAAGATATCATTCTTCCCATCACCCTCATCATCACAACCATCTACAATCCAAGATTGTGCATTAGTAGCATCATTTGTTAGTAAAGTCTCTATTTTGGAATTCATCTTCTTCTTGTTTATCAACCTTGCATTAAATTAGACATAAACAAGATTGTTCATCATTGTAGTGTCAAGTCTATTCCTTTTCTTGGTGTGCATCTACCAAAAAAAAAAAA